TAATCAGTCTGAAGCCGTTTTGGCAGGCGAGCCGGTGAGTCCAGCAGGGAGAGGAGGGAAGGCCGGCCTGCATAATGAGCTGTGGTTAGCTTGTTAGCTGGAGATAGAGCTTGACATTCACGGTCATACTCTACGGAGTCCGGCTGGAGGCTTTCGGTTTGGAATTAGGCTGAACTTTTTTTTTTCTTTTTTTTTTTTCCCCCCAGTCTGTCACCGAGTGTTTGGAGAGCTGGTGTCAGCGCCGCCGCCGCCGCCGCCAGCCCAGAAATGAGCTCCTCTCTTTGTTTTTACAGCGCAGGAGAGGTGATACTGTCATTTCTTGTGGTGGCTGTCAGAGCTCCAGACACGGTGGCACTGAATTAAGGAGTGCCTCACAGGCAGTCATTTCGTTTCATTATATTTATTCATTCCTTTGACAGGGGCAGCGCTCATTGATCTACAAAAAAATGAGCCACAGTTAGCCCTTCAGGCTAATTTTCATCTGTTGTCCCTTGGCAGTTATTAAAACCTAAAATTAGAATGAAAATGACTTACTGCAAACAGCACATAGAGATAGCAGATGCAGACTCTCGTGCCAGTGGAATCAGTGGATCATCTGGCCAGAAAAACTGCACTACGAAGCCGTTGTAGTTAATATAACAGAGATTGTAGAGAAGCTCAGGTAAGTCTAAAACACCTGAGCTATTATTTTTAGCTGAAAGTCGTATATAAACTGGTCAAATAGCTTGTAAAGACCATGTCATAGCAGTCTTTACATCCATCTTTGGTGGCTGCTGGGTCAAAAATGCGCATACAGTGATGAAAATATTTGGATAAATGATCCTTTCGGCCATTTTCACTTCAACTAGGTGCTTAATTAAACCTTAACTCTTGCCTGATTCAACCATTCATCCAGTCATTGTCTTGTTGGAACACCCAGCTGCATCCAAGAGCCAACCATCTGACTGATGATTTTAGGTTTTCCTGAAGAAAGTGCACCGAAACAGCTCCAGAGCATGATACTGCCACCTCCATGCTTGACAGTAGGTTGGTTCTTCTTGGGGTTAAAGGCTCCATCTTCTCTAATATGAGAATATTTCTGATCATCGTGGCCAAATAGGTTGAACACTCAGAAGGTAAGAGGCGATGCTACTTGGAAAATTTGACTAACTTTCCAAAACAGATAATTCAAGTTGCTGTGTGTACATTTTTGACCAGCGAGTAGCCTGATGGAAATTATGAGAAAAATTGTTGTAAAAAAACCCCCAAAAAGCCATTAAAATTATTGACTGAAAGTAAAGAATAAGCAGAAATGGCTAAATGTGTTGGATAAATGGTTAAGATAATGGGCTACTAGTCTTAAACACTTCCAACAGTCAGCTAAAATGTATTGATAAATGGATTAAACGTCCAGCTCGTGCCAGTACCAGTGCAGACTTATTAAATCACAACAAAGAAGCGAGACGACAAAAAAAAAACCAAAACAGCTGCAGTATCGTTTCCTGTTTTCGTGCGCAGAACGTGAGCAGAATTCCAGTTTGTCTTCAATGCACCGAAATGCAGAATTTTAATGTCCTTTATTGGCCTCGTTGGCCTAATTGGCTGTTTTAAAACCACACAAACACACACACACACGTGGCCACACACTGGTCCAGTGGGCTCATATTAATGACTTTCTGGAGCTATTCTTGTCCTGCTCTGAAAGAAGATGATGTCGGATGAAGTGGACTCATCAATAGTTCCTGACTCTCAGCAAAAAATCTACTTATTGATTCCAGTAGATTTAATATCATCAGGAAAAAAAAAGTCCTGGAAGGAAGCCTGCTGCTCATCTCAGCTTTTACTTTTCAGGCCTTTATGTTGCTCGTGTCCTGCCTTTTTTTTTTTTGCTGTTTTGTCCTTTTCTGTCTTTGTTTTTTATTTCTTTATGCCTCTTTCTCTTTATTTCAGAGTGTCTTTTTTTTCTTTGTCCTGTCTCAGCTCGAGATCTTTAACTTTCTTTGTCTCGTCTTTTGTACTTCTTTGTCTCATTTTTGTTTTACTTTTTTGTCTTTTTGGTGTTTTAGTCTCATTTTCTTTTGCTATCTTTTTCTATTTCATCGTTTCTTGTTTGTCTTTTAGTCCCGTTTTGTCATTTTGTCTCATTTATTTGTCATATTTTTCTCTTAGTCCTTGTTTTCTGGCTCTTTTTGACCTGTTTTCTTTGCTTCACTTACTTTTATTTTGTCCTTTAGTCTCATTTTCTCTTGTTTCTGTGCCGTTTTGTCTCAGTTTGTCTATTGTGTCTTGTTTTTGTATTTCTTTTTTAATTTTTTTTGGTGTTTTCTGTTTTTCATTTGTTCATTTTGTTGTTATTTATTCTTCAGATTTTTTGTTTTTTTTTTTTTGGTGTTTTCTGTTTTTCATTTGTTCATTTTGTTGTTATTTATTCTTCAGATTTTTCTTTTAATCCGTCTTTCCTGGCTCTTTTTATCGTCTCACCTGATCTTTTTCGGTGTTTTTTATCCTGTTTTTCTGTATTCTGTCATTTCACTGTTTGTCTTTGTTCTATATACTTTAAAATTTCTCTTTCATCTTGTCTTCCTCTTTCTTTTATTTACGTATTTTTCTGTCTTCTTTTATTCCCTCCGCCCTCCAGTTCTTTACCTTTATTTGCGTAAAAGCTTCGTCCTCCAGTTTGCCTCTTTGTTACTGTACCTCTTTATTGGTTCACATTTTTACTTCCCATTTCAGTTTGTTCTCTTTTCACTATGAAAAAAAAAAAAAAAAAGCCAAACAACACTGAAATAGCTTCCTGGTTTGTTTACCTCCTCTCCCAGTCGCTCTCAGCGGAGGTCACAGCGTTTCCTGATGATTTAGTGCTATAAAAAACTCTCAGCTTCACATTTGCCATCAGCTTCAACCTGCCCCCAGAGAATCATTAATGAGTAAGTACAGTATGAGTGCGCGATCAGACATTTACATTTTGGCCACTTATCCGGCACTTTAATCTGACGTCTCGCTCAAGGACGCTGTTGGAAATGGTCTAAAAAAAAAAGAGCAGCGTGATGGAGTATCTGTTTGTTTTTGTCTCAGGACGTCCAGCTCTGTGAGGCACTTTTATTCATCAGGCAGCGAAAAGACGTCGATCTTTAGTCGGTGTTTGCGCTGATGTTTTATGTTCAGGCTGGTGGTTTAAGGTATCTTTTCAAATGACATGAATCACATCCTGCTAATGGCCGAAGACTTGTATGATTCAAGCTGTTGGTCAAACTGTGTGGGAAGGGTTCTCAAGGCGGCATTATAAGTAGCTGATCAGTGGCGTTGTAGGTCCTTTAATCTGTCTGTTCCAGTTTAACATAGGTGGCTTCCTGAACTCCTCTCTCAAAGCATCTTTGGTTATGTTGTCCTTGTTTAAAATGCAAAAAAAAACAAAGCATGAAAATAACAATAGTAGTTCTAAGATGGTCGTCTTTTTTTGATTCTTGAAGATGTTTCACCTTCATCCACCTTCATCTTCAGTTCCAGCAGACTGGTGGGGATTCATTCATTTTCACCTTTAAAATCACAGCACATTGTTGATCCAAGACTTCTGTGACTGAAGCTGTAAACGCTGTAAAGAAAAAGACTGCATTATAAATACAGCCGACTGACTCGATAATCCGACCCTTACCAATCCTAAACCTCGCTATCCGACGGGTTTTTAGGAAAAATGAACGGATCCCATTAAAAACAGTCTTAACATACCAACAGCCTTGGATTCTGACATGACATTTAATGTCACCAATCAGGATAACGGCGTATTATCTGACTGAACAATCCCACAGATTGGCTACATTCACACTGCAGGACTTAACGCTCAATTTGGATTTTTTGTGAAATCCGATTTGTTTGCGAGTTCGTTCTCATTTCCAGTTGAATGCGACTTGTATGTGATCTGCTGTGTGAACTTCATACGACCCAAAAGTGTCCCGCAAGAGGACACGACAACGACGTCACACGCAGTGATGGCGTCGTCGGGGGAGTGCTGCCGCCGCCATCGATGGTGGAAACAGAAGTGTGAGCGCTAACTAAACTGGCATCAGCAGCCAAGTACTGCCTGTGCGCTCCGGCCACTTCCACCTCGTCGGATCGCTCCCCCGGGGTGGAAGTGGTCCCACCTGACCACGCTAAATATTCTGATATTCATCATTAATTGGGCCTGAACATCCAGAGAGCAGAAAGTGCTATTGGGACCAGCCCCACTAGTTATTATAACAACTATGAGCAATGAATATTACCAACAAATGAGCCTTCCAGCATCAAGCCCTCCTCGTATCTCGACCTCCGTCTTGACAATCCGACATAAAAGAAGGTTTTACGTTTAGTGTCGGATTATCGAGTCACGACTGTACCTGATAAATGGCGTTTAGAGGTAAACATTCGTAGCTTTCTGGTCTCTCAAACTGTGTGCCACCACCTTTAGATTTCAACCAGAGGAGACTCTTAAGAAGTCGCCACAGCTTGTTTACATGAGGAGCCGAGCATTTTAGGCTAAACTTTGTGCGCTACGTTAAAGTCCACGCAGCAACAGGTGACACGCAGAGGAACATAAATAAAATAGAAAGCGGCAATAATAGAGAAGAAGAAGAATGTGACTTTGTAAAGCAGTCTCTATGAAAGGCCACGGGGCTGGTGTGCATTATTCATCTAACTGTATTCATCTTTAATGGACTGAGTCGCCTGAGAGGCATAAAGTCTTTCATAACACATAGTTGATGCAGCGACACGAAGATTTGACTTTAAAGTTTGACTTGTCAAAAGTTTTAAATCATATTTTGTGAAGGAGAGATTGTCTGGGGTTGATGGAGTTAGTTTAACGCTTCAGTAAATATCTGACCGTCACCCTATCCATCACCTTTGGGTCCTCTTTAATGTTCTTGTCCAGATTCAACATCTGCTGCAGCTGTTCAGGGTTTGTGGGATCGTCTGCATAATTCTGGCCATTTAGCGTCTTTGTTTTTGTCCTCGCCGTCCCTAACTATAAATAAAACTGTTCACAGCGGTGCCAGCAGCCCCGGTGAACGTGTCGGTGACCCAGCTGAGGGCACATTCGGCCATGGTGACCTGGAACGTCCCTCAGGGAGACACCGTCATCGGATACGCCATCTCACAGCAGGTACACTGTAAAAAAAACACACCAAAAATTCAATTATTTCATATTAAACGATCCTCTCCACACTGGGACAGAAAGGAAAATAAAGATAGAGCAGCAAGGTTGCTAGAAATCATATTTTTGATGTAGAAATTATTTACTGTTTTGGGTGATTTTACTAGATATTACCTGTAATTTAAGAAAACAGGGAAAATCTGGAAAATAACTCTTCATTATTGTTATTATCATTATTATTATTATTATTATTGATAATAATGCTTATGTTATTGTATTGATAATAATAACAATAGTAATATAATATTAATAATAATAATAGTAACATTAATTTTTAAAATGTCCTTAATATGCATAATTTTGTTTGGAAATTATTTTAATATTATTAAATATTTTAATTTAGGTAAATAGGCATTAATATACATATTTTTTTCTTGCAAAAAAAAAGGAAAATATCTTTAAAAATAACAATATTTTTAGCTGGTTTAAATACACTAAATAATTTTACAGTCAAATGTAAAAGAGCAAATTGCTATTTGTAAAAACCTAAAAAAAAGATTATAATAATAATAAAAAGCATTATTTAGAGTTGCGCCCTTTTTTATCATTAAGTTGTAAATTAAAACTTTCAACTAATTTCTTTGATTTTACAAGTAATTATTTGTAATTTAACAAAACGGGGAGCATCTGTAAAGTATCAGTGAAAAAAATATTCAATTAAATTCAGTAAAAATAAAGTAATTTTTACAGTTAAGCCTTGTAAAAGAAAAAAATTCCAATTATTCAAATACTGATTTTTATTTTTGTTATGTGGATATTATTCACAGTTTTGGTCTGTTTTTTTTTATCGTCAACATGTAAATTAATATTTTGAGGGGGTTTTACTAACTGTTATCTGTCATTTAACAAAACAGGGAAACACTCCTTGATTTAAATATGTTTTTCTTCCTCGTCGCATCACTACACCTCTGTGAATATCTCCGGTGAGCGTTTATGACCTCTGAGTTTTGTCCGATCATTGCTCCTCCCTTCGCACCAATTCATTTCGCAGAGATACAAATTATGACTCGAACGCCCAGAGAAGCTCGCCTGGCAGCTTCGCCCCGGGGCTGGAAAACAGCTCACAGATTAATTATATATAAATGTATCTGTGTGATCATCTCTATCTCTGGAGGAGTGGATTGTTTTTGCTGCTGTTGTCTGCAGGGTTTTCAAAGCGCTGCGTCATTCTAGAGGCCAGTCAGCGTTTTGGAGGATGAAAAGTTTGGAAACGTCTCCGGGGAAGTCGCTCATAAACATTTAACTTGTAGAGAGGCTTGTTAAAGTCGAGGACGGCTGCTGGTTGACGTCAGTTTTGGAAGTAATAATAAAAAAAACAAATCTCCTAATTAGTACAGGTGCAGCCAAGAGAAGACCTGGAACTTTCTAGGTATCCATTTAAAACGACAAATGACACCCATTCAGACTGACCGGGTAGGAATTAAATGCAACTCTTAGAACGTAGAAACTGCAATAGAGCAATCACATTTACTACGTGTTGGTGTTTGGGCCCGAGTGGTCAGGTCTGCTGTTGTACAACTACCTCTGGGATTCACACAAGCTGGAAATATATAAAACTTGTGCTTTAAGCTGAATAATTTCGCCATTTATCAAATATATTCAGTCATTTCTCTTATTTGCTGCTTTTATGTAGATATTTAAAGAAATTATTCAGCTGAAACAGGTTTTAAAAGGCATGTTGTCTTTTTAAAAAGTCACCAAAATGACAGCATTCGTCAGCCAGAAACTGTCAAAACACAACAAATCGTCAGACTTTCCAACGGTCTTTGAACATATCACGTCTGACGAGCCAAAAAGCGTCACCAAATTTGAGTTTAAAATTGTGCTATTTCATTAAAATCGCCTTATTCTACATCTCTCATTGAAAATTTGACAAAAACAAACCGTTTGCTTTCATCAGATTCTGCAAAAAGCGTAGAAATGATGAGCGCCGTAGTGCAACCGCGAAGTCATCGGTGACCAACAGTCACGTGAGGAAAAACATCTCAATTGTTAGGTTGAACTGCAGGCTGTGTTTCCACGGAGCAGAGAGGAGACGACAAGAGAGGCTGAGATGACAATAAAACACACTGAATCAATGAAATGGTAGACAGAGGAGCAAGTTGCTGGAAGATGTAGAGCAGAGAGAAACATTTTGTAGAAGCTGTAAAAAAAAACATCTATCGTATGTGGAGCTTTGCACCTGTAGGAAAAATGTTGATTCATGTTTTCATAGAGGTGCAGGATTTCATATTGCAGTGAAAAATGAGCCCACACGTGACCCAGAAGCTGCATCCAGAAGTCCTGTGTTAAACCAAACCTATGCTTAAAATTGTGCTAATTCCTAAAATTGCATTTTTCTACGTCTCTCTACATGAAATAGTTTTATACATGAGAGCCAGAAACTGTAAAAACAGAGTGGATCGGGGGGATTGTGGTCCCGTATTGTGGTGACGTGAGCCCACTGTGAGGGGAAAAAACCAGCCATTTATCCTTTGTTTTTAGCTGTTTCCACTGTTTTAACCATTTACTCACTGGGAGTCTTACATTATTTCACTCTTCTCCCCTTGTGATAAAATACCTTCCCATTAATCCTGACCCCTGTGTTGCACCTGTCTTAATGTGAGCGTACATTTTAATTAGTTTAACTGAGCTGATCTGCAGAACCGTCACCTGGAGTCAAACAACAAGCTGCGTTAACTCTGCTGTTATGTCACCACATTTTGTTCGTCTCACGTCTCCTGAAGCGCCGGCTGCTAACTCAGCTCGGCTCATTTTAATCAGCTCTTCGCCACCCACAGTTCTGGCAGAAGCAGAATCAGACATTAGCTGAGCTCTGAGTGGGAGTCGTCTCCATTAGTGGAAATGATTTGGCCGGGACTCGTCTCACAGGAGGAACATCCACTGAACATCGATGCCAAACAGCTCCTGTCTTTTTTCTTTTTTTTTTTTAAAAGTCGCCTCTAGTCTGACTCAGAATCCATCAACCTTGTGGCATTTTCAAGAAAACACCGGACGGGGATGTAAAACATCTCCTGCCATAACCTCTAAAAGCACTTATATAAAAGCCTTCCTTCAAATATTAATAGAGGAGGTGATGGGAGCAGGTAGATGCAGCGGGGTTTTCTCTCTTTTCTGCTCTGGATGAGGGTGAGAATGCACAAAAAAAAAAAAAAATGCAGTTATATAAAAGGCTGCTCTGTCAATCAAGCTAATCTTCTAAGAATTGTTTTTCTTAGAAGCCAGTTCTGCTGTTAAAAACGAGCAGCAGCACATACAGGCTGCTCAGTGAGATTATTTCACTCGCGCTAACAAGCCGAGTTTGCGAATGACAAAGAGTTGCTTCACTCATCTGAAGTTGTTCCAAATCCCAGAGCGCAGATTCACACAACAGGAACTAACCCAGTTTCTGGCTGCGTCTCTGAGACTCCCAGTGATTCATGAATCCAAAAACACGAGGTTAATGTATGACGAGTGTGATGTTTGTCAGATGCTCTCCTGTTTCGTCCACCTGCCAGGGTCACATTTCTGCACTTTGTAAAAACCCTCCGAGGCTGAAACGCAACGACTCCAACCGAAAATAAAACCTTTACCGCCTCCGAGAGGATTTGCCGCTATAACAAAATAATTAGTCTCAACACGACTCACCTTCCCAGCACTCGATTTATCACTGAGACCAAATGTAAGTGGTGTCATTTCCACTGGGGATAAACAGTAAAATCCTGTTCCTGCCTCCCTGTCTGACAGTTTCAGCTCGTTATAATCACGACAGAGCGGTTTCTCCGTAGAACACAGTCGCATAAAGGGAGAGTTTGAAAGAAGATGTCATTTATTAACCCTCTGAACTCCTGAGCCGGTCGCATTTTTACCCACTGTGGCCTCATGTTTCACTGCAACGTGAAGTCCTGCACCTCTGTGGAGGGAGGAGAACCCAGAAATGTGCTCTGTGCATTACGACACAGTTAGAAAGACTTAAACAAGAAAGAAATGAGAAACCAAAGTTGTTGGTTTTTAACGTAATGTTTTGGAATTATCATGTACAACCTCGACTTACTGACAACTTGCTCTATTGATATTAATGATCCAGTAGATTTTGTTTTCCTCTCAGTCTCTCTTGTCTTCTCGAAACACTGCCTGCATTAGTTTGGTTTTTTTGCACAATTGAGTCTTATTTATGATGTGTTTATAAATCAGACATGTAGAACAAAATGATTTGGATGAAATATCACAGTTTGAAGCTGAATTTTTGTCACATGGCTTTTAACAGAATTTACTTTTTTTTTTTTTTTTTTTTCCTGAATCTGGTTTGAGCAAGTGGTTTATTTTTTGCCAGAATTGTAAATAAGCCACGTTTCGCAGTTTGTTTTTTATCTATTACTGCAACCAAATGCACAGAAATTGACGTTGAATTCTTTCGTCATTACTTGTTTTACAAAAATGGGAAAAAGCGCAAAAAATGCCAACAACGTCATTGATTCTATGCACCAGAAATCTCTGACTATTAACATTTAAAATTAGTCTCCTGTCCTGCAAACTGTTCATTTTTGGGGGGTATTTTTTCCAAATAATTTTTCAAATAGGACACGTAGAAAAATCTGATTCGATTTTGTAAATTTTCCCACCCAGACTGTTGGCAAATGAGATGTTCAAAGACCTTCAGAAAATCTGATCTTCTGTTTGTTTTTACAGTCTCTGGCCCTGATGAATGGTGCAATTTTGGCAGAAAAAGTGCAGAATCATTAGTTTTTTACAGAATCTGTTGAATGCAAATGATTAATTTTGAGACTTTTTTTTAATTATATGACACATGTAGATGTTAAAAGAGGTAATAGTTGGAATAAAACTATTTTTTTATACTAAAAAGTAGTTTTCACAGCAGAGGGGCTGTTCTTATGTCATTCTTTGTGTTTTTCCAGGAAAATTATTGTAGTATAGTATTGCTTTTGAATACAAAAATCTTAAAAATGTTGGTTTAAAAAACAAATCAGCATACATTATATGAGAAAAACAAAATGGGAATCCCAAATAAATATGGTATAGTACAGTAAATATGAATATTTCCACATTAGTCCTTATAAAAGACATTAGAACTAGATAGTAGTGTATAGTATAGTATAAGAAAGATAAAGAAACAAAGCCAAGTTTCTATCAGTTAATTAAAAATACAACAGTGAGGTGTCGTGTTGTTGTTAAAATTTGCTGGATTTGGAGTTTTTGTTCCAAAATCTGAGTTTCCTGTAAAATCACAGCTGAGCCACTTTGGCTGATTAAGAAGCCCTTCGCTCTCTGTAGATATAAACTCTATACGAGGGTGTTTGCGGCAGTAAAACCTTCCTCGCCGACCTGCCGGTTGCTCTCAGGGCTGCCAGAGGACCAGAAGACTCCACTCTGCCTCTGATTCAGACATGTGGAGAGCCTCGAGCGTCCTGCCAGCTCTCTATTTATTGACCTCTCCTCAGCTTTTAGTGCTTCACAGACACATTTATGAGCTGGGAAACTTGTCTCTTCCTAAACTGGACTTAGATAGCAGCCTTTATCCAGCGCAAAATGCTGTTTATGAAGACGAACCGAGCTGCCAGTAACCCTTTAAAGTGTTGCTGTCACAAAAACAAGACATTGAATATTGGGAAAGCGACATTAAGCAGAATATGGGAGATTATAGATAGGAATATTGGAGAAACATGGCCTTAAATCAATGATCAAGAAAGCCCCAGAAAACCTTGAACACCGTCCGCACAGTGACTTCAAATCTCTTCCCTCCAGGTCACAACCTGTTTACCTCCTGAAGGTGACATTGCTCGTTCATTCTGCTGCTTTTTGCACGAGCAGAGTATCCCTGCCTGTACATGCGCTCTTCTGTTTCTTCCAAATGATGATTGCTGGTGTTACTGTGCCTGCAGACCTAATTTGCCCCAGTGGGACAGGCAGGGTTGAGCTGAATTCATATGAGGTGAAGCTGCTTGTTTGCATTTAAAACATGTCCTGATATAGTGGCATAACAATGAATTTTACAGTTAGTTTAGGCAGCCTTGATGAAGTTTTCTTGATAAGAGAAGTCAGATTTTTACCTCTTTTAGGACCACAGTACCATCCTGGAGCAGATAACATGGCTGTTTTCCGGCTCAAGTTTTCACCCAAATACATTCCCAGGATTTGCGTGTTTTTGTGTGGATTCGTGTAAAAGCGTCCACCAGGTGTGTCCTTGACGTGTTTGTCGGTGTCTCCAGAGGCAGGACGGCCTGATGCAGCGCTCCATCCGAGAGGTGAACACGTCTAGTCGTTGGTGTGTGCTGTGGGACCTGGACGAGGACACACACTACAGCGTCCAGGTGAGGAAAAAAAAACACACACACACACCTGCAAACACAACAAAGGGCAGCGCATTGAGTTTTTGGGGACGTGTGGTCAAGTTTAATAGCAAATTACAGGCTGATGCATGGATTTGTCTGCAGTAAATGTCAGATTTGAGGACACGTGGTATCAATAAACCATTTATGTGGCACATAAAAGTTATCTGCAGTTATTAACACAAATGAGCCTTTAATATACATTTAATGCGCCAATAAGGACTTCTTTCATATTTCTGAATCCCAACACCTGCCGGCAGGTCCAGTTACACTGTTTATCTGAGTCACAAACTGTAAAAACATTAAGTACACTGAGAGACTTCAATAAAAAAACTGCATACAGATGAACAAGACTCCGTTTTTTTCCAGTATTGGCAGCACCTCAAAGAAACTGACGAAGCCACACTTTGCATGAAAATAGAGGACACCATTTATCTACAAAAAAAAATAATCTTAAATGTGTTCTGTTAACAGAAAATGTCCGTTTGGTCGCAATAACTGCAATGAAAGACACTTAAATTCATTTCAAAACAACAGCAGCAGCAGGAGTTCTAAACTTCTAATTAACCTGATTTGCAGCTGAGAGTTTGTTAAAACTTTAAGAGCTGCTCAGATTTGGCAAAACTGTACGTACTTACTATGAACCCTCCCTTTAAGCTTCTGTAACTGGCGTCGAATGGTTTACTTCCGGCTTAATTACACAGTATAACACTGTAATCGCATATTATGCATTTTTAATGTTTTTTAAAAAGAGGTGTTTTGGTTGTGGGCAAACATGAATAAACATGTCAAACTTTTAGAGGTGCTCATTAAAATGGAGTGTTGCTGTATGAATGCTTCTTAGAATGAGTAACGGTTGGATTTAGGACAGTTACTAATAAACAAACAGACTCAAAATGGCCTTAAATCTGCCCACAGCTACATTTGATCGTGCAACAGGCATTTATTCACTGTCCACGCTGCAGATAAATGCTGTAAATGTTAACAAATACGCAAACATTTGATCATTTCCAACACAGATGAATGTTGAGCATTCGCCTGTGAACACAAATACTATGGGGTGTTTCGCTCACACAGGCTCAATAAATAGAATTAATGGAGGATGACAGAGATTTTTCGCAACATTGCAAAGCTCTAAAATGTATTAATGGCTTCTGTCTGATCCATTAATGAATTATTAACCTTTCATTTCCGTCATGTTTCACGTATTTTCAGAATCCGTCGTCCTTCTCTAAATCTTTTAGGTGTAAACTTTTAATTAAAGCGATAACTTGAGGTCCATTTAAGTGTCTCTTTCTGTTAAGACGATTTGAGAAACTTTCTTAGATTGTAAATGACTTTATATTTATGGAAATTAATTCGTTTAAGTCTGAGTGTAGAATAAGGCTGAACTGTGACACTTCTCTCCCAGTTATTACTGCAGGAACTTTAAATCAAGCTGCAGCTGCACTCTGAAGGGGGGAGTCTCTAATGTGAGTCCATTATCATGACGCTATTAAACTTTTTATAATCCATTACAGCTTAATAGGCTGCTGCAGACCGTCCTTCAGCTTCAATGTGCTCGTCAGCAGGCAGACGTCCTGCAGAAGTGTCATTGAGCAAAGCGTTGAAGCCTGGCCAGGCCCGGCGGGGCTGGGTTCAGCCTCCGACCTCCCTGCAGAGGGCGGGAGGTCAGGAAAAGAGGAGAATTTCCCAGTGGAGTTTGCTGTTGTTATCCAGGATGAGTGGACAGATTAGGGCTGGTAGAGGACACTCCAACTTTCTAATTAAAGAACAAAGACTTGGATGCTTTAAGTTTAATTCAAGGATATATTTTGCAAAGTCATTTTCCACAGAAAACTTTCTAAATTTGACCTTTACTGGAGGCAGCGGCACAATGAGACCTCTGTGGATTTAATTGTGTCTGTGGTGGATTTTGTCTCCCTGTATTTATATTTTCTGCCATAAATCTCAACTCAGCGGTCTGTCTGAATGAGAAATACGCCAAGAAACGTGTTGCCTTCGTGCACGTTGCTCAGATTTATAGTTACCTTTCACTCTGCGTCCTCCAATGATCATTCAGGATCGCGGCCAAGAACCAAAGCACCGCTCGCTCGCTAAATATACCCTCACCAGCCAGTTTCTTCCCACCGTTACGTAACGCCGTCCTCCGTTAATGTCCGTGTGGGAATGCACCCAGAGTTGGCTCCATCTCAGCTTCACTGTTGGCGTTTTTTTTTGTTTTTTTTTTCAAAGATGTTTTTTCTGATTCAGGTGCAGTCCGTCGGGCCGCACGGCGACAGCCAACCCAGCCGAGCCGTCCACTTCAGGACGCTGGAGAGGAGCGACCACTACCCAGCCGGAGTCCTGGACCACCGTAAATACACACCAACACACTCGTATCCACTCCGACAACAGCTTCTGGCAGGCTCACGTTCTTGTACTCATATTCTGTGCACATGCATGACGATTTCTAACTCCTCTGGGGTGAAATATGATAATGGAGCCTTGGTGAATCATCTTATCGGTGCTGACAAGAGCTTTTCGTCTTCACGTGCTTCATGCAGGCCTGATTAAACTAGTTGTTATTTCCTGTTCTGAAGCTAAAAACTCAGTCAAACCAAGTTTAGGGTTTAAAATTGAGGTTTCTTTAACCCTCTGAACCTTAAAACCCACCAGCAGATTTAACTTTTAAAAATGTGATAGCCAGAAAATGTTCCCTCAGAAAACCTCACCAAATCTGAGCTCAAAATTTTATCAAAAATGTTGTCTCTCAAAATTTGCCAAAAATAGAATGTTTGCAATAAACCAGATTTGGTAAAAAAGCAAAAAAAATTCTTCTCTCCTGACGCAACTGTGAAGCAGTGACTGACTCGACTGTGACCAACTGTCAGGTGACAAATATTCAGAGTTTTCAGTGTTTACAGAGCAGAGAGGAGACAAATACCGAAACAAATGTAAAATGTGAAAAATAAAATGTCTGCCCGAGACAAGTCACGATCTCCACGTCATGTTTACCATTTTGTTAACATGTTACTGTTTTATAGATTTTGTTTTGTTGAAAAAAATGCACAAAAAACATAGTAACTTGCACATTAGCAGTATTAGCAGGAAGGAAGGAAGGAAGGAAGGAAGGAAGGAAGGAAGGAAGGAAGGAAGGAAGGAAGGAAGGAAGGACAAAACTATCAATAATGTTGATTAGAAAATGTGACATATTTTACAGCTACACAGAGCAGATCAGAGACAAGTTTGGAAGCAATTTAAGAACACAAGTAGTAAAACATTTATAGTATGTTTGTAGTATGGTTTTTTTGGGGGGGTTTTTATTGGTTACACTTGTGGAGAAACTTGGAAAAATGTTTCGTCATCTCTGTCATTCCAACTGTCATACTGTCCTTGTATTCAGGGTGCCGCTCCCATCGAGGCGCCGGATTTCATATTGCGCCGAGAAATGAACCCACAGTGAGGAAAAAAAGTGACGAGAGCAAAGAAAAACACCCAGAAACTGCTGCCTGGGGTTCAGAGGGTTAAAACCTGCTTTCTACAAGTCTGCACAAACATTGTCGATTACTTTGACTCAGTCAGCAAAAAGCACCAAATGCACCATTAGCTTCGGTTTAAGTAACAGAATGTTGATGATAACGAAGCAGCACCGGCTTTATCCTTTAACAAAACAATGATAATGAATAAACTGAGCGTTCGTGGTGGCGTCTGACAGCAGCGAGTGTGTTTGTCCTCAGATGAACCGGCGATGGAGGGTCTGGGAATGACTCCTCACCTGCAGACCGGGGAGCTGCTCATCATCACCACCGTGCTGCTGCTGTGGGCAGGTCGGCCTGCGCGTTGTTTGTGTCTGTGTACGCGTCTGGGTGTGTTTCTTCACGTGTTTGACTCGTGTTTGGTCTCCTGCAGCCGTCATCGCCCTCTTCTGCCGGCAGTACGACATCATCAAAGACAACGACTCCAACGGCACCAAGGAGAAAGCCAAGAGGCCACTGGTGCGAGCCTCGTCGTCCTACTACAACGCCTCCGCCGGCAGCTCGCCCATCTACCACAACGGAGCCGTTCGCAGCAGCAGGGTGACTCATTCACAAAACTTCCTCTTCTTTGTGTTGTTGCAGCACTTTTCTCTGTGATGCATGATTATTCCTGGAATATTTTGTTTCCTCTGAAGGGCCTTTGTAGCTGCATCGGAGATCTCCTAGCAACCAGAGCTGCTGGCATCAGGGCTAAATATAAAACCACCAGGCTGGAAGCGGATCTTGTTGGGTTGCTCCATCTCAAATCAGATTAAACTTATTTTTATTTAAACTATATGACTAACTAACTAATATGACAAGTTGTACCACAAAAACCAAAGTATTTGATTAGATACTCTAATCCAAATAGAATACGACTGGTTCAAATATATGTAAGAAAATACTTTTAGGCTTTTTTGACAAAAAAAAAAAACAACCTTTCAAGGGAACACTGCCAAGAAACATCTGCCACCACCATGTGTCACATCATGATGCTGCCACCACCGTGCTTGACATCATGATGCTGCCACCATCATGCTTCACATCTTGATGCTGCCACCACC